TCGTGCTTGACTGCTTATGCCGGTTCTTTTTTTCTATTTGTTTAGAGGTTTTTGCTGTAGGGAGAGACAGAGAAAGACAGAGACAGAGAACGAGAAATCTCCCGCCAGGGGGATGGCCACACCGCAGTCCCTTCTCCTCCATTCTCCTCTCGGGACTTATGCACACACACGTGCCTGGTGTGAGTTTTTTTGTTTTTTGTAGAGGTTTTTCACTATAGGGTGCGTGCGCTCGCCAGAGACAGAGAGAGACATAGAGACAGAAAGTGAGAAATCACCCCCCAGGGGGGATGGCCACGCCGCAATCCCTTCTCCTCCATTCTCCTCTCGGGATCTTGGGCACGACTCGAACCATGTACAACCATGTGGGAGTCCAGCAATGTAACCATTATGACATCTACTGGTTCCCTTATTTATTTAACTATATAACTTATGTAGTTTTTATCTTTTTGAGTTTTTTAGGTTTTTGCTATGGGGCATGTGTGCTGGCCAGAGAGAGACAGGGAAGTGAGTAATCAGCCCCCAGGGGGGATGGCCGTGCCATTCTCCTCTCAGGACTTTGGGAATGCACACACACATGCCTGGTGTAATTTTCAAAGCAGGGGATCAGGGACTCAAACCGTGCAGTTGGCCGTGTGGGGTCCAGAGCCTTAACCACCATGCTACCTGCTGGACCCACGTGACATGTTTATAGCAGTGTTCCACATTATCAGTCGGCGGCTTAGAAAGCAGGTCCGTGCTGGGTGGGCAGGTGTCCGGCTATAGAATGATCTCTGGGAGCTCATGGGACACGATGGCTGAGGAAACCTTTAGAGACCCAAACTTATCACAGAGGCCGGGTTATGACGTCTGGTGTGTGCACAGTGTCAGGTTCCCTGAAGGGGTCCCGTTCTGTTCCCGCCCCCAGCGCGAGTGCATCTCCATCCACGTGGGGCAGGCGGGTGTCCAGATCGGCAATGCCTGCTGGGAGCTGTACTGCCTTGAACACGGAATCCAGCCCGATGGCCAGATGCCGAGTGACAAAACCATCGGCGGCGGGGACGACTCGTTCAACACGTTCTTCAGCGAGACGGGGGCCGGCAAGCACGTGCCCAGGGCGGTGTTCGTGGACCTGGAGCCCACCGTGGTCGGTAGGGCCCGGCGCTGGGCGGCGGCCTTCTGGGAGGAGGGAGGACTTCGGTGAGGCCTCCAAGAACCCTGCTCGGAGAGGGCAGGACGTGAGGGTGCTCGTGACGCCATCAGGGGACACCGGAGGGCCTGACTGGGGCTCAGGTGCCCGTTTAGGAAAACCGGCCTGTAGGGACAGCTGCTCTGCGGGCAGGAAGGTGGCGGCGGCTCCTTGGCCCTGGCCTGCGGGGGCTCGGCCTTGGTTCCCGGGAGCTGCTGTGCGCTCACGCCCTGCACGGGGTCCTCCTCGTCTTAGACCTAGAGGTGGGGAAGGACGTGCACTGGCTCCTCTGACGCGAGGCCCTGGGTAGATCAAGGAGAGCTGCAGAGAGCTGTTCTCGGGCCCCGGACACGGCAGTGTCTGCTACAGCCCGGGAGGCCCAGGCCCAGAGGGCGCCCTGATAGACTGCCCTGACGGATCCACGCTGACCTGGGGCTGCAGTTTGAAGTTGTTTTTTTATTGTTTTTTTTTTTCATAATTATTTATGTTATTTATTCATTCGTTTTGTAAAAATTTGACCAGAGAGAGACAGGGTGAGAGTGAGAGAGAGAGGAAGTGAGAAAGCAAGCCACCAGATTCAGGACTTGAACCCCGGTCGGCCATGTGGGAGTGTCCAGCGCCTTAACCACCACGCCACCTGCTGGTCCCCAAGGGGTTTTAATTCCACCCCTTGACGTCCCTACAGGTAGGAAGGAAATACGTGCCCATAAATGCCCTGTGTGGGGCTGGGCTCCGGTCAGGGCGGCGTTGGTGCCGTGAGTTTGCTTTACCTTCCGGGAGCCAAAAACTGCACTTGTGGTCTGTGAGTCACACACGGAGTTTTCTTTTTCTTTTCTTTTTTTT